TTTGTTGTCTAAATGGATTTTATTATAAATAATATAGGCTGAATTTTAATTGCTAAAAATATTTAAATATGCATGTGCAAGTTTGCATTGTCTTGTTCATCATTGTCACTAAACCTTTTGTGAAATTCAGGATCATCTTCAGAATTTTACCAAGCTCAATAAATTTTGGAGGCTTCCATTCATAAAATAATATTGGAAGATGTACTAATTTTTTGTATCCTATTTTGGCATAGTTTTTTAAAATTCATCTAGTCTAAATAAGTAGTAATAATAAATAATTTCCTTGCAATTAATCCATGATATGATGATATGTAACGGTGTGTCCTTTAAATGTAAACACAATACCATTTTGTGCATGTATAAAAAAAAGTTGAACGAAGATTGGGGTTCTAATCAATCCATCAATTAAAATGGTTTGTAATTGATTGGGCTGAATTCTACCTGTAAAGAACAAGGTGTTTGATTATATAATAAAAACTTACGTTCCATAATTTAGAACCCATCTCAAATTTAACCTAAATCATTTACAACAATCATAATTAATTTAATAATTGTTAATTTTAATAATGGTTATTTTAAAATAATAATAATTACAATAAAATTAATTAATATTACGTAACGAACTATGTCATGCGTCTATTTATCTTCTGAACTGACTTGTGAGAGACCGGTTTTATTTCGCGCGTCGAATATTATTTGTTTAAATATTAAAATAAAACCAATTTGAACGGGTCACTTAACTGACGTGTTTGTTAAAATGATCGATTTTTTAACTTCCTTCAAAGGTAAAGAAAACCTTGGAGGTCATACATAAATAAAGCCAAAACAAAACAAATAAAAATTTTTCATTGATTTTTTGAATATTAGGTTTATAAAGGGATTTTGAAATTATATCGATATGATCGCTCATAAAGGCCTGGACCTTACGGAAAAGCCTTGACACTTCCACTCATTACTATAAATAGGATATATGATTACAAAACATTGATTTTTTACTTGCTATTATCTCGTGAAGAATGATACCAATCATAAAACAAATAATATTTATTTCGATTCGGAAAAAAGTTGTGAATATTAATACTACTATTATTTATATACCGTGTTATCTGGAATATAAGCACTAATATAAAAAAAATAAATATAGAAAAATATAGCATAATTTTTATTTGATCTACATAATTAATAAAATTAATATATTTTTTTTTATTTTGACTATTTCCTCCACCTCTAATTCATTTATCTAATACTTCATGTTCACCTTCCCCTTTCTCGAGCGAATGATCTTCCGATCCGTCAATCGCATTACTAATACCGCCACATTTTTAACAATCATTTCATTCTAAACCATTACAAATAACATTATGTTCAGGCTTTCTCAAATTTCCAATTTTGGTATAGGTGAATTTACCCAAACTCATTCAAGTATTTCATTCCTATCTTTAAATGGTTTGTTGATGCAACATGGATTTGAATGACAAAAATAAAAATGTCATAAAAATGATCTGTCTTGTGACCTTCAAAGCTATCCATAAACAAGGAGAGCTTTTTTTTTTCGTAATTCCATTTCAGATCTTCTTTTCCACATCTTATCAAACCATCTGCAAAAATTGCAAGGACACATGCAAAATGATTTCTTTTTATTTCCAGTCAAAATTTGGCATCAAGATGAACAAGAAGCTTTTGATCAATCTTTGTTTTACGTCATATAGCAAGATCATCCTTTCAAGAAAGCAATAATAATAGAGCAACATTGTGGAGGATGAAATCTTTTTACTGGCACCTGGATAAGTATCACATCAAATTGATACAAGTTTTAACAATTTTGGAAGTTACAGTCCGTCTGCCAAATTCAAAAATCCATGCTCATCAGCCTCCTAAATCATTACCTTTTGTTTTTATCAATGGAGATCATTGAATGATAAATAGTAAAATGGCGCTCAGGCCATGTTATTTCGCATATTGCAAAACTTGGAGTTCTGTGGAAAAAAAAAAATTTAAAAAAAAATTGAAATTAGTAATAGGGTTTAACGCAAACGTGACACAAAATCTCTCTAATACAAGCACCCCATGTTAAAATGGAGGTGTTTATACCAGACATTACGACATGCATTCTGTGTGTTACATCAACCAAATAAATTTTTTCTCAATAATAATTGTTTACAGACTAGTCAGTTCTTTTTCTTTATAAAGTGGTCTGTGTGCTACTTATAAATATTTACTAAATAATAAATAACACGCATATACATTATAATATTAATAGATAGATTGCTTACCAATATAAGATGGCAGGAAACTGTTGAAAATTATTGTATTTTTTACTTTATTTATAATCTAATCTAGAAAATAAGCAAAATTAATAACTCAACAACCACTTAAAAACATTGCATAGTCGTGTGTGTATCGATAAACAGAAGGATCAAAGAAAAAAATAATGGATTTGTTTCCATTATATTTATTATGTTATTAATAGGAAAAATTAAAATAGACGTTTTACTTACTTATTTTGGCAATTAATAGTGGGGATATAAAGAATATAACAGTTGTCCTTATTATAAAATTACCATAATTTTATTCTCTTAAGGTTAGTAGTAAATGACGCAGTAATATAAGTTACACAAATGTAAATCACCAATCAACAATACTATTAATAATAAAAATAAAGTTTTTATTTATTGCTCTGTGCTTATTTGTTTATCGAGTACAAAAATTATCATATTTAATAATCAATATGCGCACAATACGCGTTCGAAATAATTACGGCAATATTTATCAATAAAAAAAAAAAACCAAATTTTTTTTTGAAAAAATTTGGGTTAGTATATTGTTTATTCATAGTTTCCTTTTTTTAAAATGTGCGATTGCGTGTGAGTGTGTGACAGTCACAAATATATCATCTTAATTTTTTATTTCAGCATTGAAATTTAATCAATGCGATTCCTTTAAAACAAAATTCAAAAAAATATATACAGTCTAAAAATAATATATTAAACCCCCCTTAAAATATATTTTTTTAAACTGAATTAAACGCACAAACATTTAAAACAAAACTTATTGTTTTCTAAACAGATTTTCCATACCGTATATTATTAAAAATTTTTTTTTCAAAAAAAAAAAAAAATATTTGAATTTTATTCACATTATATAAATATTAGACTAAATTTTTTCTTCAATATCTTTTTAAAATATTTTCCCCTTTGTGTAAATCTTGTAAAAAAAGGTTATCATAATAATTATACATATAAATATTTATTATACAAGATAAAAAAATCTTTAGGAAAAGGAAAAAGAAATAATTTTAACATTCTTTATATATCATATATATATATATATATATATTAATAACTATTTGTAATCATACATTTTATATATTATTATTTATTCAATCTTTAAATTATTTTATTAATTAATTATAAGCGAAAGAATTCATTTTCCATCATCATCATCATTAGCAATAATAATAATTAATATTAATAATGTTACCAGCTAAACGAACACGTCTATCAGAACCATCATTTTCTACAAATTCTACCAACAACAACAACAACAACAACAACACTACCACTACCACCACCATTAACAACAGCAGCAACAACAACAACAACAACAACAACGACGATGATGAGTTATTGCAAAAACAGTTTTCGTCAAGACAACTTTATCAACAAAATCGTCATCGTTTATTATCGGAATTCGATCTTTCCAATATTTCGAATAATCCAAATAATCAGCCACAAACTCCTCAATTAAATCATCATCATCAACTTGATCATCAATTTCATCATAAACAACCGCAACCAAAGTCACCATCATTACCTTCAACCGGCTTGGAAAAGACAAATCAAAATTTAACTAAAAATGATCTTCAAAGAATTGAAAGCAGTATTGATTTTATTCTTGAAAGTTTACAACAAAGTTCAAAAGATAATAAATCATCTTCGCTTTCTCGTCCCAACAACAATAATGTGAATTCGATTGTTCTTGATCTTCCCTTATTAATAGATTCGAAACCCGAAGAAAAAAAGCACGAATCACCTTTATCCGCTTTGTTAAATCACACTTATCCTAAGTGTGTTGTAGATTTAGTAAATAAATTAAATAAAATGTCTATAAATAATCCCAATTTAGATCTCGACAACTTATCTAACAAGTTTCTAGGCAATAATAACAATAAATCATCCTCCTTGTCTTCATCGTCATTGTCATCATGGCCATCTCCAACATCATCGTCAGCTTCATCATCACCATCCATATCACCTATGTCGTCATCAGAAATTTCTGGCACAACAATTCCACAACCACCATCCAAAGAATTATGTCAAAAATTGATACAAGACTACTTCAAAAAATTTAATCCGGTATTTCCTATACTTGATAGAAAAAGATTTATTGATCTTTGGCGGAGCAAATCCATCTACTCCGAACTGTTGGTCAACTCAACTATGGCGTACGTTGCCTCAAGATCACCATATGATCCATCAATTCAAAACATCGAAAGTAAACCTGGTGGCGTGTTCTTTGATGCTGCAAAGGTAAATAATAAACATTTGTTAAATATAGAGAGCGCAAAGCAAAAATTATAACGTTAATTTAAAATTATTAATGGTTTTTTTTATTTTTGTTTGAATAACATTTAGAAAATACTTGATTCAGTATATGAAAAACCTAAACTGGAAACAATTCAAGCTTTATTGCTCCTATCATTATCCGAATCCAATATTTCAAGAAGGGATAGTAGCTTCATGTTTTTAGGCATGGCTGGTATGTCAATATATCTATATTAATGTAAAATATTATCTTTTTGTAAATGCACATCATATTCTAACCACGTTCATATTATTCATATCATATCCACATCGTCATTCTTATTTTTTCGTCCTCCCATTTTCACAATAACAATTAATTAGTCTCGATGTCAAATTGTTTACAATTGGAACGTGTGAACGATTCATTGTCGTCAGAGGAGAGCGAAGAAAGACGTAGAGTGTTTTATTGTATCTATTGTCGCAACAGATGGGTCTCCTTCATTCACGCCAAACCATACTCGGTTGATGACATGGACATCAACGTACCGCTACCAGAACTACTCAACTTTGATCAACAAACCAAAAGTTTCTTCATTGCATTAATAAAACTATCACATATCCTGGGCCAAATATGGAAGTTCGGCTATACCACACATCCAAAAGCCTGTTATGAACATTGGCAAAGTCACGTAGCTGATCCAAAAAGTATGTTGAGACAAATCAGATCTGCCTTGGCAAAATGGTTGAAAGAATTGCCGGACGAATTACAGTATCAGTATTTGCCAGATGCAGATCCAGGAAGCCTTTTACACTTATCCAGTTTCTCGGTGTTTTCTGGTTATATCAACATTCTTTTCCACACTTGTCTCTTGTTATTGCATCAACCTTACCTCACAAATTCATCACCACTGTCATTATCATCGAAAACAAATGCTCAACAAACAAAATACCATAATTACAATCCCTACCAATTTTATAATCCTGCCTTTGGAGCTTCCAATAAATATGTTACATCATCGTCTCAATTTAACAATGTGCCAATTAAAACTTGTTTAACAGCTGCAACAACCATAACCGACATATCCAGAACAACAAGAAAATTCGATAAAACAGCGTTTTGTAATTTCATATTTCCAGTTTATGGTATCTTACAAGCAGTTATGCTCGAATCTGTTATAATTAGTAATGGGACAATTGGTTCGACGGCCGAGTATGCACAAGAAGCAAAAAAGGTGCTAAATGACACATTTGAAGAGTTAAAATGTGTAGGAAAGGCTATTAATGTTGCTGAAATGACGGATGTTATTAAAGAGGTGGAAAGAATTTTGACGCTTACTAATACAAATGATTTCACTATACCTCTTCCATTCCTAATTCAACTTTTAGAATTCCAATCTAATCGTCAAAGTGCCAATGACAATCATAGTAATGGGAATAATAATAATAACAATGGTAATAATAATAATAACAATAATGATGATAGTGTTGGTGATAATAAAGGGGACGTGTTTGGTAACAATAATGATTCAAATCCAAGTGAGTTGAGTGGTGGTGATATTAAAAGTACTAATGACAATGATGATGATAATAATAATAATAATAATAACAATACCAATAGTAATAACAATAACAATAACAATAACAATAGTAATTTTATGACAACAGCGGATATAGCAACCGAGTCAGTTGCAAAAACATCCAATTTGCGAAGGAATAACAGTGATTCGTTGTTATTTAAAACATCTAGCAATTTTGCTAGTAGTAATAATAATAATAACAATAACAACAACAACAATAATATTGCTATTCTTAGCAACAAAATCTCAATCTCATCATTACCAGATGCAACAAATTCAAATTCTGACGCAGATATTGGTGGGGACACAGTTATGGAAGATGCTTCATCCCAAATTGTTGATTTATCTATACCATCATCCAATAACTACAACAACACTGATAATAATAATGATTGTAATAATGACAATTTATTTATTATGACTTCGACTCCACAATCACTAATAACATCATCATCATCATCAATATACACTACATCGAATGATCTATTTCCAATATCTACTACCACAGTTACTGCCAATAATAATAATATCAATAATGATAATGATAATAATAATAATAGCGTATCGTGGGAGCAACATTTATACGACGACAATATATTTTTCGATCCAGCTTCGTCTTCGTACTCAACTACTACCGCTATTATTAATTCATCAAGTATTGGTGGTTTAGTAGGTGGAAATGTTGTTGGAAATCATCATTTGCACAATCAGCATCCTTATTAACAACTCTTATGATATTTATACAAATATAGTTATTTATAGTTTAGATATATGTGTTTAGGTGGTATATAGATAGGCTGGGTTTATAATATATATATATATTTAACATATGTACAATTTTTTTTTTAATATAAAATTAGTAAATTAGTAAATTAGTAGTAAATTAGTAAATAATAATAATTAGAGGTTTTTTTATAAATTAGTAAATAAGGTTAATTTAAGTTAAACATTTTTTTTTATAATTTATCCAATCATTTGAATATATGTTAAATCCTCTTTATTAAACAATAAAAGGTTGTTTTAAATTTTCACTAACATATGATATTTAAATTTTATATTTAGTTAATCAAATTATTGTGAGATAAGGTTAAGATAAAAAAACACCTGAAAATAAAAAATTTTTAAAAAAAAAAAAATTCCCCAATTTTATGGTCTGGTGGCAATTTACAAAATATAATTCTTCTTTTTTCCGTAATCTTTACCATTAAATTCTTCAGCAACAAGATTAGATTATTTATTCCATTTTCACATCAAACGTATTTACCACAGATGACACCACCATCTTGTTACAGAACATCGACGGGTCACCCGTGCGTACAATTAAATAATTTTGCCACTGTTGCAGTAAAAATCGGGTGATTCTTCTAATCGTTGTTTCTACCACTGTACAACATTGACATCATTTTCTTGTTACCCTCCTTGACAGGTTTGTCGTCGGTGGTTTGCCTACATATACATGCAGTAGCAGAACCAAAAAAATCCCGTCAAATTTAATTTCTTTTTTGACCATTTTTTATATCTTGGTCACAAAGAATTCGTTCTCCAATCAAAAACAATGATCATTTTCCTTAATAAGTTAGAAAATATACATTAATATATTTAATTTATAAATAATTTAGCTATATTTGCTTGCTCGCTTATTATCAGATAATATTTCATCTTTTATTTATGCCTGAAATATAACTTTTTATGCAATGCGCGTATGATTTTTTTTCAATTTACGCAATACCACATATAATTTCTATCCAATTAAAATTGCTCAGTTACAAAAAAAAAATATATAATAATATTAATATTGACACCTGTATGCGGTTTTAAATTTATTAAAAAATGTTCAAAATACCAGTAATTGTGGGCGGATATTGAAAAAAATTAGAATAGAAAAAAGGAATAATAATATTGAAATTACTATTTTTGTATTTTTTTTTTTTTTTAAAAAAATGCACCAACTGCATAAAATGCACATGGAATTTTGGAATGTAACGAGACATAGAATAATTGTGCACACAATAACAACACTTCTGTACCAATAGAACTTAATGGATGTTGAGAGATGTAATTAATTCTATAGGATTTCAAGTTTCTTAGGGTATTTGTCTCAAAGCTGTTCAACAAAAGGTCCTATAGTTACCATCCACTTTCCGGAACTTGCATTAGAGTGACTCGGATACAATTCTCCCAGCTACATTTTTACAGTGTAATCTACGGTCAACTTAATTATGTGATTTCTTTCCTTATGTTGTATAAAAATTTATAAGGTGACACGTAGATATTTACAAAAAAAATTTTTCAAATTGACCCGGTGATCCAGTTTTTATTTTATATACGGTAATAAAAGTTGTCTTGATTTAAAAAGTGTAGATTTCCCAAAAAGATATCTTAAGAAAAAGTAACCTGTGGTTTTGATAATCTCAATCATGATAAAACCACCCTTTAAATACACCCGTGTTTTCACATGACCGTCGTACAATATAAAATTTGTAATTCATGTATTACATACATACTGGTATTGTCTGGAATATTAGAGTCACTTGAATATAAGCACCAGTATGAATTTGCAACAAAAAAATAGAGAATAAATATATTTTTAAATTATTTTTATTTGATTCTCATAATAAATAACAAACAGGATTCTCTTTTCCAGAATTCTAATATTTCACATTCATTTTCATTTCCTTGCCCAAATAAATGATCTTCTGGTCCATCAACTGCATTACTAATATCACACTTTTTTAAATCATTTCTTTTGGAATTTCATTCCAAACCTCAAGAATCCATTCAGGCTTTCTCAAATTTCCAATTATGTTATAGGCGAATTTACTCAAACTCATTCAGGTATTCCACTTTTTCAAAGTCTATCTTTAAATGAGGCAAACCCTCTGGAATGATCATTAAATCAATATTTTTATTTTGATATGATCTGTCTTGTGACTTTCAAAGCTATCCATTTTCAGATCTTCTTTTCCACATCTTGTAAAATTAAGCTTTCATTCTAATTTTGTCCATCCATCCTTTTAGATGTATTAGTATAATGATTTGGGGAAGTGAACTTTTTGGCTTTCATTTACCTTTAGAAATAACAATTGATGGTAATTTTGTACCATCTGTAAGAATTGCAAGGACACATGTAATTTGTTCAAACCTGCACAGTTTTGCGCCATATTTATATATAGTTAGATTTCCCAATCATGGCAAAATGAACAGGGGTTTCTTCCAATTTCTGAAAGTTCATATTCAATTGTTTTTCTTTAATCATTGGAATTTGAGAAAATTGATGTCAAGATGGCAGGAAGTTTTGACCAATCTTTTTTTTGTCACATAGCAAGATTATGCCTTCTAAGAAAGCCATAATAATAAACCAACAATGTGAAGCATTCCTGGGTACAAATTGATTTATTAAAAGTTCCTTCATATAACTTTAACAATTTTAGGAGTTACAGTCCATCCTGCTAAATTCAAAAATCCATGCTTTTGAGTCACCTTCTGCCTCAGGATATTGTGCTTTCTTACTAATTTATCATCTTTTCTTTGCCAATGAGAGATCATTAAGTGATCAATAATAGGTTTATACCCAATTGATCTTAGACCATGTTGTTTTGCAGAGTACAAAGAATGTTTGAGAAAAGTAAATTAGAATGATAAATTAAGGAAATAAAAGTGGCATAAAATTTCTTGAATAACAGTTAGTTTTTCTGACCAAAACACATTAAAATAGTAGTGTTTATATTTCAGACAATATGGTAATTTTATTTTCTATGTATTATTAAAAACATATTATAGTGAAATATAATTGACAAAAGTTACTGACATAAGAATTTGCCTGAATGTCTAACTCATTGTTGTCTAAGAATAATGTTAGATAATTATTTTTTTAACTTTGTATATCATGTGTAATAAGGTGTTAAATACACATGTAAGGTTGTGGGAGAAACTCTTCCAGAAATCAATCGACAGAGTTTTGACAGGTTACACATTAATTGTTTATTAGAGTTTCAGCAGAGTTTCGCATTTGGGGTTTTCGCCAATCATCAGAGTTTTGACAGGTTACACATTAATTGTTCATTAGAGTTTCAACAGAGATTCGACAGTCATTAAGAGGTTTCACCCACAACCTTATACACATGCAACCCAAACCCCATAATGTACAAAGTGAATTTGGGGCAGCTTGTCAATGAATTTTCAAATCCCTTGTACACCTATGGCATTTTGCTTAAGGTAGTGGGCGAAACCTCCTTAGTAATTGCTGAAACCATGGCAAAACTATATTAAATCTTATCAAAAATCCTGTTGAAACTATGCTGAAATGGCAAAATCTCAAAATGCAAAACTCTGCCGAAACTCTAATAAACAATTAATGTGTAACCTGCCAAAACCCTGCTGATTGATTTCTGGATGGGTTTTGGCAAGCAACCTTAATTCTGTCTCGCCAATAAGTGCCAAAATTTGTTAAAGTGATCAGCAACACCTCTGTTACACTAGATGCTTATTGGTTAAGAAGGCAGGGAAGAGAATTGATCCGCATCGGGATGTACAAAATAATTTGGGATTGAAATTCTTGATTTTTAATTTAGGACAGTATCTATATTGTGAAATGGGGAATGTCCAGCTTGGAAAAACTTTATTGGAAACTTTCAAAAAATATTGGATCAAAAAAATAAATATTCTCTTTAAATAATTAGGGTTTCCATTCAAACAAAACAAACAATTTTGAATAAAACTAATAAATTGAACAAAACAAATGATTCAAATTATACATGCCACTCAAACCCTAAATGTACAAAGTAAATTTAGGACAGGCAGTGGGATACTTGGAGTCTGTATACAGACTCCAAGTATCCCACTTAATGCGGACTATAACCCACCCGAAAATGACGAGCGTTTTGCATTTGCCTCGTCATTCGAGTGACGTGCATTTTGCATTTGCCTCGTCAAAGATGGGATGTTTATAGTCCACTCATCGGGTGACGTGCATTTTGCATTTGCCTCGTCAAAGATGGGAGTGACGTGCGTTTTGCATTTGCCTCGTCATTCGAGTGACGTGCGTTTTGCATTTGCGTCGTCATTCGAGACTGTGTCTAATTTTTGTATATCAGATTGGTGATCCCAGGTGATTTAAAACGCAAAGAGTTCAGTGAGCTAGGTTATGATACCCCATGTGGAATTCTAGGTTATTCCCCTCTCAGGTGTGACGTGCGTTTTGCATTTGCGTCGTCATTCGAGACTGTGTCTAATTTTTGTATATCAGATTGGTGATCCTGGGTGATTTAAAATTTAAGGCGCTCAGTGTGTTAGGTTATGCAACCGCGTTGGCCTCATCGCGTGTTTGATGGGTCAAACATATTTTATATGTCATTTGATATCGTATGCTACCACGTATATGCTATCCGGTTATGCTATGAGGCAAAGCCTCGAATCTCTGATTCATCAAATATGCATTGCGTAATTGCTATCGAGTACGTTACATAATTGCTATCGCGTATGCCATATACACGCTATCTGGTTATGTTATCACGTAATTGCTATCGGCTATGCTATCAAAATGTAATCGTCTATGTCCACTATCCTAGAATGCGGTTAAAATGGACCTGCTCGCGTCCAAGAGAAAAAAAATGTCCAGGTTCCGTCCAGGTAAAAATATGTCAACTTGGACAGATAATATTATGGGAGAAAAAGCTTTATTTTTGTTTTAACTTGTTCTTCTATACTTATTCTATTTTCGTCTA